TCCATACTCAAAAATGGCCTTCATTAGAGTGACTAACATCTTTTATAGACAATCTATACTGTAGGACTTAACTTACATTAATGACTAATTTTGAACACAACCGTGCAGACTTTTCTTGAGTTTGGTTAACCATAGTATTAACCATGATACAAGCCTAGGAAGATGGGGGCAAGATATAGCTTAAAATCTTATTTCTGGAAGCTTCTTTTAATGGTAAATGTCCAGAACATTCAGTTTGTTTTCCCATAAGTGAGAAGCCCAGAAATGCTGAAGTGGAACGGCAGTTAGGATTCATAAACAAGGATGTGGTCAGATATTTAACAGCCTAACCACATAGTCCTCAAGCATAACCATTGTTTCTCTTGGATACTCACAGCTTACAGCTTACAAAAAGATCACTTTATGTTTTGGCGAGTCCAAAACAAAATAAAAATGAAACAAAATCTCCTTTGGAGTCATACAAATACGAATTTCAAGCTTGACTTCTATACTTGTCCATATCTTCTTTATCTTATGCTCTTGAAAAAACATGGAGGATAGTTCCTTCCAAAATTTCAAGAGTTTTTGAGTGAACTAAATACTGTTCTACACAGAACCAATGACATCTTAGATTCTCCATAAATAAAATAAGCAACAGTGCGTTCCCTTTGACATGATGTGGATGAACCTGACTGGATTTAACAAGAAGGAAAGTCAGGCTATGCAAAGAGGAAATGGCTGGACCAATAGACAATCTAGCTACTTTTTTGGGAAGATCATTTACCTTTACCAGCTCTCAGTTTCCACATCTGCATAGTATGGAAACTGCTTTTTCTGTAGCTTTCCCCCAGAGGGTGGAAAACACACTAGGACCTGTGAAAGACTTTTAAAACCTCATGCGAACTTCTGCTCTCAGCGATGGTGACTAGACAAGCCTCTGGGCAAGAACAATGAGAACAAGGTAAATAAAATATTTAAAAACATCTATTTGTAAACATCGGAAAGTTACCAAGGAAGTGAACGCTTCAGGACCCATAACGCAGGAAAGAAGGAAAACTAGCATAGCAAATCTTCCCCCAGCTGCCTCTGAGTCCCTCGGAAGGCGTTACGAGTCCTAAGGCACTAGCTGACTGGCCGAGCACTGAATGGAGCTTTTGGCCATCTCACACAGAGGAAGGGAACCCTGGTGAGACCTCCCAGACTAAAGTAAAGACTCTTAAAGAGCAAAACCTTATGAGTAGGAATTGGCACGGAACAGACAAGCCCTGAGAAGGTCCAGCTTTGAATCAGCCCAATACCTGATTATACTAAAGTGACCTCTTTCTTACCTTAACGGTGGTCCGGGCAAAAGAAAAGATGCTCTTTTGAGAAGAAATGACTTTCAGAGCTTCAAATGATAATCTTTTAACATAATATTTGTCACTGGCAAGCAAAAACCACAGAAAAAAGCAGAAAAGCCAAGATAAAGAATTCACAAGATATTTACAAACTAGAGTTATCAGGCAAAAATCAGGAAAAAATTACTTTGATTTAGTTAGCAGATTAGGGATACTGTTGAATTAATTGTAGTAGAATACAATTAATTTCTGAAAACAAAACAAAAACAACCCTAAAAATAGACTCTTAAAGCAAATAACTTCAGACCATGTTCAACGAAAGAAAGAAAATGATATTGAGGTTTTAAGAATCGTGCTCATATTGAGAAGGACTGAAGAGAAAACTTTGGGAGCTTTCTTAGTCCCACAATGTCATAATTGTGTATGTGTGTGTGTGTGCATGTGTGTGTGTGTGTGTGTGTATGCACACATACACACACACATATGTATATATTTTTTTCTTGGATACAAAAAGTACTGATTGCATTCCAAAATTTCTAATAATTTCTCCTTTATAATTTACTATTTAAATTCTGCTTGAAAGAGCAGATTCCACTTGCATTTTAACTATGTTTAACTTTTTATAAGCATCATGCAGTAAATCTTTTGCTAATGAAATACAACCAGCTTGACTGTAATAGACTAACATGATTACCACTTGTTCCATCAATTCATTCATTAGGTGTTATTACAGTACTCATTAGACACGGAATGAATTCTTATTGTGACAACTAAATAAATTTTAGTGTGATGTAAAGACAGAAAGAGAGTCTGATTTATGATTTTTTTAAGCCATAGGAAAAAAGTGAAACCCAACAGATTGGATAATAATGCAGGATATATTTTCAACTTGATACAACTTTAAGGTAACTATAGGTTAAGTAACTTAATAGAGAAGTCAGATTCATCTCAGGTATGTCAATGAGATGAATAATATTGAGGGGAAAGTCTACCTTCTAAAACCACTAAGAGTTTGCAAAGTGGTTGAGTGCTTTATAGGATGTCTGCCATTTTTTGATATCTTCTGTTAAATATGAATATTTTATTTATTTAATCTCTGCAATGAAACTTATCAATGCCAGTTTTTCATATTTTTTAGAAGCTGAATTAAATCCCATCTCAAACTCTTCTACAGAAGAAATCTTGGGAAGAAAGGAAATAGAGACTCTTGATTCTCAGTTTATTCAAATAAATAGAAATAGAAAGTGCTACTGGTAGATAGATGGTAGTTTCATGTCAGCTATTATTTACAATTAAAGAACATGAGATTTTCCTCTAATAGACCATAATTAGCAGGAAAATATGCACGGTCTCCTTAGAGAGACCGCCTAGGTGAAACGCCAGCAGCATCTGACAAGAAACTAGTTTTATTAATGTACTTTAATAAGGAATATGTCCACAATAAAGAATCAAAGAGACAGCCAAGAAGGAGCCATTACAGGACAGTCTCGGCAACACCCAAATAAGTTAGTCCAGAGGAGCTTTGTCCACGTGGGAACATGATGGTCTTAGAAACAAAACTATCTAATCTTATAATCTATTCAAGTTGTCTTCTTAGCAGCGCAGAACAGCTTCAATGTTGTTCCAAGGTTCAGAGAAGTTACGTAAATTAGTCTAAGTTAGCTATTCATCCTGGAGTGGTAGAGTCAAGATTCAAAACTGTGAGACTATCAAACAAATAAAGACTTCTGATGCCCACTTCCTCTATTTGGATCATTATTCCTTAAATATAAAAGTAGTCCAAATGTTACAATTCTTAGGTCTATTTGTTATGGTTTGGATCAAAAGGACTTCTAAGTTCAGATGTAGGACTTTTGGAAGTGATTATATCATGTGGGCTATAACTTTATCAGGGAGTCAATCCATTTGATGGCATTACTGGGATGACTCTCTTTGCCTCTCTCTTTCTCTCTCTCTCTCTCTCTCTCTCTCTCTCTCTCTCTCTCACACACACACACACACACGGACAAAATTGAGCATGCAAAGTACATGCATAGTTGAGATCAAGCTTAGCTATTTCATTCCTTCCCACCTAAACGTTCAAACCTTCTAGGTAATGTTAAAAGCCTTTGCAAAGCAATATGAACATGTTTCGAAGTGCCTGGCAAGGCAGCAGATTCAACTAGGGGGAAGAAAGGTGTCTTAGCCCCTTTGGGTAGCTATAACAATGTATTATTACCTGGGTGGCTTATACACAACAAACATTTATTTCTCACAGTTCTGGAGTCTGGGAATCCTATGTCCATGGTGTCAGCAGATTCAGTGTCTGAAAAGGGCTGGCTCTATCATCCACAGAGACTTTCTACTGTGTCCTTCACATGGAAGAAAGGGCGTGGACTCTCTTTTGGGTCTGTTTTAGAAGGGAGTTAATCCCATTATAAGAACATTACCCTTGTAACCTAATTATCTCACAAATTTTTTTACCTCCAAATACTATGGCCTTGAGGGTGATTATTTCAATTTATACATTTGGGGCAATGTAAATATTCAGATCATAGTTGGAAGAGGTGTTTCTCTCCCAAAACAATCAACACCAAACCCCTTCAGATATCCTCTTCCTCAAAGTATACTCATTTTAGCAGCAGCTCATTCATTCACTCATTCAGCAAAGGGGTATGCAGCATTTACTATGATCCACGGCTTCATTCTCTGCTGTCTTCCCGTACACTGCAGCCCAGTTCTTCCCCACCTCTTTCCTTAACCAAGACCTTTAGATCAGTGCACAATTTCTTCTTCCTTCTAACACATTTTTAGTCTCTTTCTCTTCTGTCAGATCTACTCTGTGTTGATTACCCCGATGATCACAGCAAAGGGGCTGCCATGAGCCCATCAGGGCGAACGGTCTTCTCCTGAGCAGAGGTGGACACGAGGAAAATAAGGTGCCTTGATGCTTTCAATGTTCTGCCAGGTTTAAAGGCTTCCTCCCTCTCCCTGTTCTCAAATCTCTGCTTTGAGTAATGCATTAATCACAAACAATCAAAGTTGGTACAAATTAGCAAAAGAGAACATTGTTATTTTGAAACATAAAACTTTTAAAATGGACTATTAAAGAAAGTAGGTTTAAAAATAATCACTTGAAGAGTACTGATTTTTACATTTTTGGATCATAGTAAAGAACACAATTATAGTACATGCTTAACTTTCTATAATTTTCCTCAAATATTTTCTAATATTCCCATTATATATTACTATTTAATTTAAATTTAATATGATTTAGAAATTCTCCTTTTTATTAAACATTTGCAAAGGTAAATAGTATACTGTTTCTCTTTTTATTTACTATATATCCCAAATTATTACATTTTATTGAATATTATCCACCTTTCTTCAACATCATTCTTTTTTCTTTTAATTTGAGACAGGGTGTCACTATGTGTTTCAGGCTGGCCTTGCACTCACGGTATAGCCCAGGGTGGCCTCAAATTCACGGTGGTCCTCCTGCCTCTGCCTCCCAAGTGCTAGGATTACAGGTGTGCGCCACTATGCCCGGCCTTCAGCATCAGTCTTGAGAGTTTTATTTTTAGGCAAAAACTATACACTAACATGATCTTTCATTATGAAAAATTTCAGGATAGTTTTACCTTCAATATTTTTTGTTGGCCCAAAGCAAACATTTCCTTAGTTAGATATCCAAGTCAAACTCACCTGTCAAATAGCTCTCCTCCTGTGACGAGTTCTAGGACCAGACTGATTTCTGTAGGGGTTTCAAATATTTCCTTAAGTTTTATCTGGAGGAAAGATGTACATAAAAAGAATATTACAAATCCCTTATTTTCATCTTTCTTGAAAATATCTAAAATTATGGCTAAAACAATACTGCAATACTGCTATATTCAATGACTTTAATAAAAGTACCTCCTCCTAGTAGCAAGGATATATTTGTCACTCTCTTTCTAGGTTGAGGATTTTATCCATCCCCTCATGGTTTTCAAAGGTCCTATTGAACGTTAACATTTTTCCTTTTCATAACTACCCTAGAAACACTTCCTAACGTTTTCCAAAATATTCCAATTTCTGGATTAGTCTACAATCAAAAACAAAACCCCAAGTTCCCAAAATCTGTGAAAGCGTCACTTGGTGGACACACGAAACACCTCTTTCTCTTGGGAACGAGGGTCTGAGCCTGGGCAGGACCCGGTGAAAGGCTGTGTGGTGAGGGAACGGCCATCCTCAAGCACCAAGACACTGCTGGTGGGTGAAAGGGTTCTTGGACAGGAACGGTGGCGGGGATGAGATGGACCACACCAGTGCTTTCATCACACTCAGATTTGGGATATTTCAATCAATGCGCAGTACTTTTCTCTATTGATGTGGGACTCCGGTGGCCAGGACTTACATCACTTGAGGAAAATTCCCCATCACTTCTCTTTGAAAAGAAGACTGAGTATGGTAAATTTTGTTAGTTGTCCATCCCAAGCCTTTCTCTCTACTTTTCTGCACACAGAACACTGACTTTGTTCAGGGAAGTAAAGCCCCCCATCCCACACTATGGGTCATCCATTTATGACTAGTTTTCTACTCTATCGGTCTCCATGCAGTTATGGATGATTTTGTGACCAGTTCTGGCCAATAAAATTTGAAGACAATTCAGTCACTACAGTTTCCAAGGAAATTTTCTCACCTGCCTCTGCTGGGGAGGCCCTTCCAATCATCTTACTTGAACGTAAACTGAACACTTGGAAACTGTGGAGCAGCCATCTTAGAACCATGACGGAAAAGCATGAGGGTGGAAATCAATACAGATGTAGAATGAGCAGTGTCTGGGGCCTGGATGGTGATACTGAGAAACTAAATCAGTGCTAGGAGCTGGCTGGCTTCTAGTCTCCTTTAAGGAAAAATACTTGCTATTTATAGCTAAATATATCCCCAATGCATATATTGTTTTAAGTACTTTGCCTTTGCATTGCAGATCGCTCCCTCAGACACTACAGCTTTCTCAGAAAAGTGAGTAAAATATTTTTTAAGTAGGTGGCTTAATTCATAAAAACAAATTATGGTTTGGAAAATGACTCCGTTCTTTTTCACTTCACTGGTTCCAAAAAGCTTTTCACTAGACATTTCCCTCAGAGGTTTGTCTGGACATCGGCTAAAGCAGAGCTCCTGAGGACGTTTTATTTTCTCATTCAAGTACATCATTTATTTGCATTCTCACATTGTTTCCGAAGCAGATACTCCTCAAAGGAGACTGAAATCACTTCGGAGAGCAATGTATTTTCTTCACAGGATTTTTCTGCAGTGGCATATTAATAAGATAAACACATACAATGGGAAGAAAGCCAGCAGCTTATTAGAATGAAATAAAACTCTCCCATTTTCATCCCTTTATGCATAAAAATAAAGGAGGTGTACATGGCTAATCCATTCATTTTGGAATTGTCTAAATAGATATGTAAATTTCTGCAGCCAAATCATTGAAAGTGTGATGAGATGAGGACAAGAACTAGGACACAATGGCTCCCAAAGTGGGAGAATTTTCTTCTCATTATCCACACGGACAGCAAAGGACAGCAGTCCCATGTAATGGCTTTGGAAAGGACTTAAAATAGTAGTTAAGAAACCACTTACAATGTTTGGATGTGAGAGGCGAAGCAGAACTCCTATCTCAGTTCTTACGATTTTCTTGTCCACCTACAAGGCAAAATAGATAAACTGAAAGAAACTCCCATCTTAGAAAAGAATCTTCGTAGCAGCAGAGATCAGATAAAGCATTAAACACTCAACACACTAGGCTACTGGCCGAGCCTAATTTCCAAGCTTGTTTCTTACGTCTTCTTCCTCCTTTCTTTCTCAGCTGTGTATCCCACCTCTGCTTCACACATGGAGTAGAGCCAGAACTAATGGGTATCTGTTATGGCTCATGTCTAGATCCCCCCCAGCAAAACCTCATGTGGTCAGAGGTAGGGCTTTTTCAGAGATGGCTGGATCTAGAGTGTGTGGAGCTGATTCACAGTGCAGTGCTAGGCTCAAGAGCACTAGGATTAAGGGCGTGTGAGTGCCACCTGCCTTGGGTAGCTTGGATAAGATAAAAGGGGGAAGAAAGATGCTATTATGGTTGCCTATTGCTTTGCTATCTTCTGACCTGCTATAAACTGTTCTCTTCTGCGATGCCACCCTGCCTTGGAGCCAGCTGATTATGGACTGAAATCTCTATAAACTGTGAGCTAAATAAACCTTTCCCTCTTTAACTTTGGGTGCTGGGTATTGTCTCAGCAACAAAAAAAGTAACTAAGGGGGCTGGGGATTTAGCTCAGCGGCAAAAGCGCCTGCCTGGCAAGCGCAAGGTCGTGAGTTCAGTTCCCAGTACCGGAGAAAAACCAAAAAAAACAAAAACAAACAAACAAACAAAAAAGTAACTAAGACTGTTATAAAGACAGTTTTATGATAGTTATCACAACTTATAAAACCTTTTTCATAGCATCTCCCCCACCCCTCCACTTTTTAAACAAAAGTCATCATCATCATTGTTACCACCAAGGTACAAGTTTATCTCAACCTACCCCTCATCCTTCTCTTTCTTTCACTTATGTAAGTCTCTGTCTCAAATCCGGGGGAGGTGTCAATCACTTCACCTGCCTTCCTCAGACAGAGGTGGCATGTAACCCAGATCAACCACTCAGGGTGCCCTGTTCTCTGGATATGTGATGGCATCAAAGATATTCAGCAGACCCAGGTCATCCCAGAGGGTTCTCACTGTGCTCAAATGACTGTGAAAGAGGTGTTCTCTTTTTCTCTGAAACTATGAGAACAAAAGAGACACTGTGGCCACCATTAACCATTTTTTTAAAAAATGCCACATGGATATCACTTCAATGAAAGTGAAGCCAGCAAAAGAAAAACTACTGCTGAAATAACAAAGATTTCTGTTAATGTAACTGCACTGAATTCAGCTATGTGTGAACTGTTTTGTCCTCTGAACTTTCTATTATATGAGCCACTCTATTTCCTTTTTCTCCTTGTTACCAAAAGTTAGTTTCTTTTGCTGGCCATTAAAGAACTCTTTTGAAATTCACAACTTGATCTCTGTATTTGGGATAATAGTCACTGAATTTACCATTTTCAAAATTAAGGCCAATTCCCTCTCTAAATCCACGATTAACTCTTTTAATCACAATGAATGGGAATTTCGTATCTCTACAAGTCATAATATGCACATGGAAAGGTTTCAGTGTACACCTCTCCTGATGAAATCCACCAAAATAATGAATAGATGATACCTGTACTCTTACAGTACTTTTTACCATATGGGTCACCTAGAATCTTTGGACTAGCAGAGTTCACATGGCTAGAAATAGGTGTAAGGAGGTTTGTGTACAATTCACAGTCAGCCTGGGAACATATTCAAAGACTGCTTGAAATGAAGGATGGATTCTATGCTTTAAGTTACTCCTTTTGAGGAAGAAAGGGTGGACATGAGGAGAAATCCAATTCCTTTGCAATGGTGATAACCAATCATGACACTGAAGATGATGAACCACACCCATTCATTTACTTTTTATTCTCTGATGAAAATGTTACCCAATAAGCACACATTCTTTGAAAATAAAGATCCTAAAAGGATTAATACACACTTTACATGTTCTTGTCCTTAGTTGCATCATATAAATGTTGTCATGGTTTATAGCCATATGTCCCCATGAAGCCTCATGTGCTCCTACATGGAGACCAAAGCTCCGTGATTGGACCATGGGGGCATCGCAGTCTTGAATGGCTTAGTCCACGGATGAGTTTACAGCTGCGCTGCTGTTGGGGGTGGGACATGGTTGGAAGAAGCAGGTCACTGGGCATGTGGCCCGGAAGTGTCTATCTCATTCCAGCTCCTCGCTTCCCTCTCTCTCTACTTCCTCCCACCCCACCATGCCATGAGCTGTTTCTCCTCTGCCAGGGCCCTCTCCCAAGCCATCTGCCTTGGAGCCAGCCCGCTATGGATGGAAGCTGCACAAACTGTGAGCAGAAATAAACCTTTTCCCCTTTAATTTGTGAGTGTCCAGTAATGGATAAGGCATGCACTTGTCAAACCCCACAGAATGTCCAACACCAAGAGTTAACCTTAAAGTATACCTGGATGTTAGTTAACAGTAGTGTACTATTACATCACTACTAGTTTATTGAAATGATATATTTTAATTATTATGTAAAGTATAAGTCAATACTAGTTTTACTTTATTTCATTTGTTGCTGTATTATTAATATCAATCATAACAATGAAAAATGTTAACGGTAGTAAAAACCAGGGGAAAAACAGTATTAGAGAACTTCGTGAAACCTAAAACTGCTCAAAAAAAGTAAAATCTCTTAATTAAATGAGTGATCGCAGGGTAGAGAGAAAGCCTTTTGCTCATTGGCAGCTTTTTGTCCATCTGTGTGACGGGTCGGCCCAGTGGGTGTGAGCCCCAGGAAGAAGGGGGTCTTGTTGCTGTGTGTCAGCAACAAGAAAATAACTAAGACAAATACTTTCATACTTCTTCAGACATATAACTTTGTCAGCCCCTAGAATGCCTTATATAATGAGAACAGTCACCATTCATCAGTGATTTTAGTTTTCATGAGAAAGAAGAACGTTTGTTAGGAGGTAGAAAAGAACCCCTTTCCCAGTCAGGTTTTTTCCAGAGTCTATTTCACCACAGTATACAAGAAAGTACTAGATAGCCATATCACAGTAAAGCTTCCTAAACTATAAAAAATTTCTGGTTATCCATGTGTTCAGCTAGGAAGCTCAGGGTATTTTAACACTGTTGCCAATGAAAATCAGACAATTAAAATGAATCCACAATTCTATACAACAAAAACATATTCTACGTATTTTGTGTGGACGCTGATCTGTGTAAACCGGCCTAGTTATTACAGGGCGCATGTCATCCCCTATAAAAATGCAACATGAGCTCTAAATTCTGACTTGAAAGAAGCGGGCGTGAGATGATCTTTCCATTTTAATACAGTGCAGATACTCCAGGCAGTTAACTGTGAGCAGAGAAAAATGGTTTCATGAGAAACAACCTAACACAAGTGACTGTCTAACACCTTGGTAGGTTTTCACAGTGAAGAAGTAAAGGAAGACATACATGTTGATATAGCTAATGCTCTATGCCTCAAAAACTTTGGGAGCTGCTGCACCAGTTTTTCTCAGAAACTAAAGTATAACCACTTTTCCCAATTCAGACAGACATTGTACTGATCAAAACTTTTTCATGTCAAGCAACAAACTCCTAGTTCAAACTTGCTTCAGCCAAACAGGGACCTTACTGGCACATGTATCTGGAAAGTCAGAGTAGAGCTACCTACAGACATAGCCCAGTCCGGAGGTTCACACTCAGACAGTGTAACCCCTCACCCTGCCACGTTTGTGTCTCTGGTTCTCTTCTTTCCAAATGGCAAGAAACACAGTAACAGAAGCTCCAATTCTATATTGTTCAGGAAAGGGAAAAGAGACTCCTCTTTCTACACTGTATGCTAGTCTTGAATAGTATTCTCATTATTTTCTACATCTACTTCTACAGGTAAGAGATGCATAACTATGAGAAGACCCAGCAAGGTCATGGGCCCTCTCCCTGTGCAGGGTTGAGGAAGATAAGGAGGCGTGGCTGTCCTGAACAATGGCTGTTGGAAAACAAGTGATGATACCCTTGCTGATTATTTTTCACATTGGTTCCCCTCCTTCTAAATTTGCACAAAATTCTGAAGTGCTCTTTTTTCTGCTTCTTCCGTGTCCCAACTTGGTCCACAAATTATCTATCCTTATTGATTTATAATAGCTCTTGTCATCAGTAGACTTAGAATTCACATTTTTCATTACTTAGCAGTATTCCACATGGACTGTACAAATTAATAGCTTAGAATTTTTTCCCTAAACACATTTTTGAATCTATACTGAAATATATGTAGGATAACTGCTTAACTGGCAAATGAGTCTAGCAGATGAGGTAGCATTTGTACCTAAAATCTGCTATGGGATTCTTGTCAATTGTTTTGATGGGAGTTATATAAGATGAAATGGTAGGGCAGTATGGGAAAATGCTGGCCCTACTCAATATGAAAGGTTGGAGTTGAAATTTGAAATCTTTGTTTTTTGTGGAACAGAAGAAAATCCATAATTTTCATCATATTCTCAAAAGCTTTGAAACAAAAAAAAATTTAAAAATTGACCTTAAGAGAACATAATCCATGGACCTGGAGATTGGAGAACCTCTGAATTTATTCTTTAATGCGTGCATAATGAATATGTAATGAATATATAGCACATGGTGTTCAGCTCTATATTAATCACTCTAGGACATATGAGAAAGCAAACAAAATAAGGTCTTTTCCGGTAAAATATTACAATCTAACTTGGAAGAAATCACTAATCCACATAATGCCATCTGAGAATACTGAAAGACAGAAAAAACGTAAGTTTTGTTTTAAAAGTTCAACTGTTCATTGAAAGTCATTTTCTATGACTGAAATACTTCTATATATAATTGGTGGATTTACTTAAAAAGATTTTTTACATTAGTAGTCATTTAAGAAAACCACAATGTCTGTACAACATGAAAAATGTTCATTAGCGGGTGCAAAGGGTACACGGTATAACCCGTGATGTCAGTCATCCATGGGATACAGATGGCATAGTCCAGGAAGAAGGTCAGTAATAG